ATACACATGAGATAAAGAATAAAGTGTAGAAACGTAGGTAAAATATTTCAAAACTATGAAAACATCATGACAGGTCAAATGTAGTGAGGATGCAAAACATTTATTACTGTATTCAAATAATTTCTAATCACCTTGAATTCATTTAGTGAGTCAGTCCCCTCAAATATAGTTGATTTTGCAGCTCATGCTGGGAAGCTGAAAATTAAACTGCCACAGCTGTAGGGAGAGACGGAAAGATTATATGTATCAGTTCCAACTATTTTAGCAGGTCTTTTATGCAAAGGGAGAAGAAAAGGTTTGGTAATCTAATAAATGACACATATCTGTCATATTTGTAATATTAGATTTAAATGATGGTGTTTTTGACTGCTGCATCGAGAAAGTATTCTGTAAGTAAAATGGCACAGAGAGCTTTGGGAAATTCTGAGCACTTCTTTTGCAACTTGATAACATTTTTGTATTGTTTATTAATCTACAGTGAAATACTGTAATGTACACGTTACATTAAATACGCTTTTTCACATCTTTGTTCCTTTACACTGCCAGTATATCATGGGCATCAGCCCTGCCCGGCCAGGCCTGGAGGGACAAAGTAGTATCGAAGCTTCAATCTCTGGGTGTGGGTCACATCCTGCTCATCCTCCAGTGCTTCATCTCTGCCATGGCCAACATTTACAATGAGAAGATTCTCAAAGAAGGAGAGCAGCTCACTGAAAGCATCTTCATACAGAACAGTAAACTGTGAGAAGCTGCTTGTGAAGAAAATGGGAAAGCAGAGGACACGTGGATGAGTTTGGTGCTAACATCAGTCGTTTTTACTGCGTGTTTTTTAGGTATGCCTTTGGTGTGGTGTTTAATGGTCTGACTCTTGGGCTCAACAGCGAGGCACGAGGTCTCACCATGCACTGTGGCCTCCTACATGGACATAACATTTATTCCCTGGGCTTGGTGCTGGTCACTGGTGAGTAATGGTGGATTAATGACTCGCACTGTCATCACAAATTTGTATTTTTTTTCCCATTAGTCAGATTTGTCAGTTTCTTCCAAAATGTCAGTGTTAAACAAAAGTGGACCAAAACAGCTTCAACATTTATTCTACTTTTGGACATCATGCAGTCATTGGGACCACAAAATTACATTTAACATTTTTAACTTTTGGTGTTTCTGCCTATCACAAGATTGATAACTTCAGTCAGCACTGTAGTGCATCATTCTCACATCAGAGGGACATTTGAATACTGTTTTATACAGCATATGACTGGAAGATGAATATCAAGCAGGCATAAGTGTGATGTTTATTGAACTGAGATCTCCTACTGTCATTGCTGTTGCTGGAGATGTCCACTCTAATTTAATTTAATTAGTTTGCTGCTTTGAATTATATGCAAACATGTCCATGAGGATTATAGAAGTTGCTTGAGGAAGAGAAAATATGTTAATCAAAAGAAGACAGTTGAGGTACTCAGGGCATCTAACCAGGATTCCTCCTGGACTCCTAGGTAGGTGAGGTGTTTTTGGCCATGTCCTACTGGGAGGAGGTCTCAGTGGGCTTGGGGGAATACTGTGTCCTCCAGGATGAGCTGGAAGGGATGGCTGGGTTGAAGGAAGTCTGTCAAATTGATAAGCAGAGGAAGTGGTGCAGCACCTGGTTCTGTTTGTAGAAGCTCAGATGTAGGGGCAGCCAATCAGATGAAAGCTGGCGTAAATAGAGGAGGGGTTGGGGTGGGGGCTCCAAAAGACTGTAGCATGCGAAACCACTACTTTGTACAATTTCTGTCGTCTACAGACAAAATCATCTTAACTTGTGATCTTGTAAGCTGCTGGTACTTGAGTTGTTTTATGCCTCTGAACAGAACCTGGTGGGTATTTGGTCCTGCTTCTGGCATCAGTGCTAAGCTACACTAATCCAGCTGCTGGATGTAATTTGTTATTAACTGGACTAGTTCATTTATCTATCTCTAGTATGCATTTGAAGAACTCATAATCTTCTGTGTTCTCCCTAGCTGCCCTGGGCTTATCCGTGGCCTTCATCTTAAAATTCAGAGACAACATGTTCCATGTGCTGACTGGCCAGATCACTACTGTTCTGGTCACAGGCCTCTCCCTCTTCCTCTTTGACTTCCACCCTTCGCTGGACTTCTTCTTCCAGGCACCCACGGTCCTGCTGGCCATCTTTATCTACAATGCCAGCTGGCCCAAGGACCTGGAATATAGCCTGCAGCGAGAGAAACTACGGGTCATCAACGGGGAGGTGTTTGAGAGGTCAAGAGGGGTAGGAGACAAACCACAAATCCTCAGTAGTCACGCACACAAGCCCACACACTCCTTTTCCTCACACAACTTCGCTCACCTAACCCCGATGTATATCCACTTCCTCTACTCCCGCCCACATACCAAGTGCTCTGCAGGAAACTTGGCTCTTGTTTCTCTGTAATGTCATTTCTTGAGTGCAGGAGGAAACCTGATTCCCAGCTATGAAAATAGCATCCAGGCTCATGCTGGAGCTTTACTTCATATAATTCCTTTAGTAGTCAAGTGTTTTTTGATGGAAGAAGCTATTTAACAATACAGCAGTCTGTGGGGATACTATCCTGGAATTCTTTTCATCCCCAGCATCCTGTTCTGTATTCAAGAAACCCTGTAATTCATGTGAAATGCCAGGTTTCAGGTGTTTGTTTCTTTGCTAGAGCACTAACAAAAATACCCTCTCCATTGGCAGCCGTGGCTTTAAAATGCACGGTACTTCCCTGGTGTTTTTCGGGGAGCAAATACTGCCCTTTCTGAAGACAGAAAAAAGATGTGCACAGTACCTCAATGTCTGCCGATTTGTCCACTGGATTTGACAACTTGTGCATTCATTTTGATGCCTTGTCTCTTTTTTGTGTTGCAGGACGGTGAGGAGCTCGAGCTCCTGACAAAGGCAAATGCAGACAGTGAATCTGATGAAGAGTCCTTGTAGTAATGATAGAGCTCACTCCCAAGTATCCAGAGGATACTCTGCATCTTTCCTGCTGCTGATGTCGAACTGCACAATTGACTGGATGGAATACGGTCACAGATTGTCTGTGAAAGCATTTATTTGAACAGTGATAAGCAGGTAAACGGTGAAAGATACTGTTGATAGATTATATGATAGACTCCTAGAATTAAAAACAAACAAGGTGTTTAATAACAGAATTAGCGAAATCTGTATATTTTGGAAACGTGCCTGTCTGTGGATGACTGCTGTCATTCATATGGGAGAAAGTACCAGCAACGCTGTTTGTTGGAAAATAAGTGATAAGTGATACTTTTGGATTCATTATGGATTTCTTTTATGGACAGTGTATTTCTTTACATGATTCCTGTTGTACATGCTGCTATTTGACTGCTTGCTGGTGCTGGACGTCTAAGGACCAGAAACTGCAGTTTCAGGATTGTTTTGATAATAGATTTGTTTGAAATTGTAGTGATTTTGAATCTTTATCCACACTATGATGAATTCGGTTTGTATTGTACTCTGGAAGAGGCAGTCTAACGCAAATCTACAAACTATACATTCACAAGTGTTCATGTATTAAGAATTGACTCACATCATGGGCCAAATGCATAGGCACTTTTTCCACCCTAAATCTCAGTCTTCATGAAACTCAACCCTTGTCCATCAGCCTTGTTTCCACTCCATTCTGCAGTCATGAATGGATGCAGGAGCTCCTTTAACTGTCTGGACATTTGCAGCTTAAATAATTTCACATGGTGATGAATAGAACCACAAAGAAGACACAGAGTTTTCATCAAGGTGGATAAAAGAAACTGTCTTTCTTCTGGAATCACAAAAGAAGAAACTCAACCAAAGGGAAAAAAGGAACAGAGGCAATTAAGTCCAAAGTAAAAGGGGAAAGAAAGAAAATACCACTCACATTACTACGAGAGGCAAAGAAAGTTGTTTTTCATTGTTGACAAAAGGAAAGCAGAGCTGCAGCTTTTTATAGGACCCCAAATTTCCCCCAAAATAATAGGAGGCTTGCTAAAATTTAGTACACCCGACATTAGGTGGAAACAGAAAAAATATAAATGAATGTTTTATACATCTGGCACCTGGACTATTATTTTCATTGGACTATTGGTGTTTATTTTCTGAGCCAGAATAAGTGGTATTGACATAATTGCCGCTAATGCCTGACTTTCTGTCTGCACCACAAACTCCCTGCTTCTCTTACTTGGGGCTTGAATATTTTCTTGTTAAACTGTAAAATAACATTGTCTAAAGATTGTTGTTTGTGCCATTAAAATCCTCACGTGTGAATGCATTTTCTTGTAAAATAAATGGCAAGTTGTTTTACTTCTGTGCAAGTAATGCAATTTAATACAATCGCTGATGTCTTGTCATAAATTTATGTGCATTTATTTAAATACTGAGGTTTTCTGAAGGAAGACCTAAAGGGTACTAGCTGCTCTAACTCCATGTTTTTATTCTATTACTTTGCACATGCTTGGTAGCTGTTTTAGCTCAATATCAGTTCCTTTAAGCCAACTATATTTTACCCACCTGCTGAATAACAGTGTTCCACACCCACTAACATTATACAGATCCAAGAGAAAAGAGACTGTAACGCAGTCTGATGTCTAAGCTTTAAATGAACAAGACTTACTTGTACATACACTTTGGCCATGTTTAATACAAACTCTGTCTCTTGCTCTATGGCAGCTGAGAGATGCTCCAGCCTCCCCATGCCCTTAATTGGATAAGTGGAAGAAAATGGGTAGGTGGATTCCAGCCCTTCTTACTCACAAAGTGTGTTTGCAGATGTGATTGCATTGAGGGGACAGTAAGTTGAGAAGGTCTGAAACTACTGTAGATATTACAAGTACGGCAGGTTGTTTCAATCAAACATGACCACTAAAATATACTTGGAAATATTCTTCCAGTTTTGCCACTAGGGGGAGGTGTTGCTCAAAAGATTATTGCAGCGCATTGGCACTGAAAGTGAGACAAATAATTTAAGGACCTGGTAGTAAAATGTTTGTCAAATGTTTATTTTCATATAGCCATATAGAAACAGAGTATAAATAGAAACAATGTATAGCAACAGAAACTTTACAAAAGAGAAATAATGTGATGCTTTTAATAATATTATTGGTAACTGCACTTCAAATGCAACAGATGTCCAATAAATATGTTCTATTATCTACAAAATCAACGTGTGTGCTGAAACTATGTAAGTCTGACCTAAAAAAGCCAGCTAGAGATGACAGACGATCCAATAATGTTTTAAGTTGAAACAAACAAACAAAAAAAACCCGGCAAAAACTAAAGTACGCAATTCATCTCTGAACCTTCAGGTTCATCCATAAATTTACTGACTAACCAGATCTGACGCTGCTAATTATAAAGCAGCGTACTATGCTATATAGGGAATGTTAAAGAACTGGATATGTGAAAGCATTTTTCTTCCCTTCACTAAGTGCTACAAAATACTCGTCTGTGTCAACCGCCCGGTGGGAGATGGGAAAGACACAAAAAGGTTTTGGGCCAAAGGAAGGTAGCACCAAGGACCAGCTGCAGGCCAGTGTGCATCATTGGAAAGCACACACCTGTTAGTAACCATACCCCTGGTGATAGCCATCCTGATAACCGTGTTCGTATCCATGTTGATGGTAACCATAGCCACCATATTCATCTTCAGGGCAGCGCATGCCAAGTGACTGCTGGATGGCCATCTCCTGTCTGCGGAGCTGCATAGAGTCTACCAGGTCATAGATAATGGCCATGGACCACATGGGTGAGGGGTACCAGGACTTGACATTGCCATCCTTCCCCACCAGCAGCATGGAGAAGTATTCTGGGCTGATTTGGAAGTAGTTTCTCATGTCCTTCACGAGGGTAGCAGAGAGCCCTTCACGCTCCACGGTAGCACTCCCTGAATGGACCAGAGGATCAGGTTAGGAACAACGTATTATAGAGTGAATTTCACAATAGATGTAGCACATCGACATTTTCCTCTTCCTCTAAACTTATCACACTGAACTCAGATACCAAAAAAGTAGAGACCTCAGCTTTCAGAAAATATATTTGTTCACTATTTTGTATTAAAAATTCTTACCATTGATAGGATAGAGCTCCAAGACTCCGCCCATATCTGGCAACTCTGTGCCAACCAGCTTCAGAATGGCGATGTGCCTCAGGCCTGTGTAACCATGGAAACCATTTTTTGAAAAGACATCAGAATGAGGCAAACAATTTTTAGACAACAGCATGACTTCAAATGAGAACAGCAGTATGCTGACCAACTGTTCCTTATCAGTCTGCTTATTTAGGCTGATTGTTACTTATTTGTTATTGGAACTGTCCTAAGCACTGGTCTCTAGGTAAAGGGAGGAGAATGTGATGGTGGTCCGGAAAGCCCTGCCAAAAAAGCTGTTTCCTCTGAAGTGAGAAAGCCCACATTAAACACAGGAGAACGCTGGCTTCACTTGGTGAGCGCCAAGTGCTGAATACCAGGATCAAACCTCTCAGTCAGCAGGACAGGCCTTTGTGTGGGATGAGGGAGCGAGGGGGCAGCCCTGGGTGCTAAACCAGCCAAGAGCAACACACGAAGGGAAAAAAGTCCCAGTAGAACCTAAACTGGATCTAGTGTTAAAGCAAGAAAAGCTGATTTTTTCAATCATCTGACTTGACTTAAATAAAAACAGTGTACACTCAAACAGATAAATGGTAGCACTTTCTAGGAAGTTATATTTCATGAGAGCTTTATAAGCTAGGACAAATGATAAATAATCTGTTAATGCTTCACAGATCAACAGTAAGCTAAAAATATTTTTTTATCATTGCAAGGTTGTAAAAAATTGCTTTGGCTTAAATATAAACCCCTATTTAATGCCCCTGTGTACACACAGTGTATGTGTGTTTGAAGGTGAAACAGGCATGAAACATTCAAAAAGACAGGGCAGTGAAAGATTACTTGTCATCTTGTTCACTAGCCCTTAAGGTCAGAAACTGATATAATGTAATTGTAGATTTAATGGCTGATTGTTACAAATAAAACATCTGACTCAAGGTCAAGCTCATACACGTGAAAGACCATTTAGTGTTGCAGAAGCAACAAAAGTCTGAAGGGAGCCAGGAAGAAATGTCCAAAATCTTCAGCTTGTGCAAACAAAACAAGAGCGTGAGGTTCATCTTGGGCAGAAAGTCCTGCTGACAGCAGTTATTTGGTTTCACAGAGAAGGAAAGTTCACCGTGGGCTATTTAAAGTTTACATGTATCTTCCACAAACCTGTCAAACATGTCAGGTTGTTGAGATTTGCAAAGTTGAGACAAATGCCTCTTTTTGAGATGTGCGGTAATAACTTTCAAGTTGCTGTGGAAAAGTTGACTAACTGGCCGGCTGAAAAGTCTCCTGCCAGGGGAGGAAAAGAAAAACAGTTCAGTTTTTTGCCAGTTCCGTCATCTGGGATCCTTCTCCACATCCGCTGGTGAACATGCATTAACACACACATAGTGCTCATGTGCATAAACACAGGCTGATAATGTCTGGAAAGTTGCAGTAAACAAAAAACATAACTTGTTCATTTGATTTCATTACTTCTTCATTTGAACATATTCATGAATATTCTGACTAACATTTTGGCAAGCAGGGACGTGACACAGGCCCGTGTGAAGTGAAGGTCACCTTGGAATAAACACGTCATCAAAGGGAAGTTTCATAAAGAGTTCTGCTCTTTTAGGCATCTCTTCCCAGGAAATGAATCTTTGTACTTTTGGACTTGCAGGAACAGAAGATTGTTATGGGTGGCTGTGCATCTTCCACTAATCAGAAGGTCAGTTGTTCAATCTCTTACAACATTTCTTATAGGGTACAGAGTACAGTGAACAGGCACATCATGACTGTTTACGATGAATTAGACTAAGGAGTGTTAATCACACTAACAATCAGTTCATTGAGCCTGCAACTGTGTTTCTTATAGATTTGTTTTTTGGTTGCAGCAGGCAGCAGATTTTGGAGAAAAAAACCTACACCACCTAAACAGCACCAAGCAGCAGAGAGACTCAATTAGAGCTTGGGTGGCGAGCATATTTGAGCTTTTAGCAACTGAAGTGACCTCTGAAAAGTGAAACTGGTTGACTTCTGGTGACTCACCCAGATTGCAGGCTTGGCTGTTGAGGGCGTAGAGCTGCTGCTGATAGGCCCACTCCTCGTCGTTGGGAGCGGAGATAATGAACAGGCGACGTCTCCATCGGAACCTGCAATCACAGAAAATTTGAGTCCGGATTTAAGTGGCAGTTTGGTCCCGCAGTGAGAGTGCTGTACCAAGACAAGGAGTTTGTGCTTGTGTGCTACATATTCCCCCTATTACTGCCAGAGGGTGACAACCCGGAATTATGGTCAAAAACCTGCCAGATCTCTACACTGTGTTCGGGGGGATTCAGGTCTCTATGGCAACAAAAGACAGCCTGTCTTTAGACATCTCCAGGAGAAAATGTGACTGAAATGATTCAGCCTTGAGGAATGGCAGGGTTTTTGTTACTTTTGATTTTCATGGAACACACACATGCAGGCTGCTGCAGGCTGCCAAGTGCTGCTCAGAATTATTTAATTGTGGTCCAGCTGACTGCAACAGATATTTGACTGATGTGGACACAGCATGATGGGACCACCCAGTAATTCCAGCTACACAGACTATATCGATCCTTGGGGGAACAACCTATATATGGCATCGATCTCAATAAAATGTTGTAATAGAAACTGTACTGAATACCTCAATTTGTCATGCAAATCTTGCACCTATGGAATGGTTTGTGCATGTTATTTTTAAGCTAGAAGTTAATGCTACATCAGCATGGGTGCTCTTATCCAGCGTTAATTTCACTGACTAATTATTTTTGTCATAATTTTTGTCAGTTACCTTTGTTTTCATGATGAAAGGGAGACAATAACTAACTAAAAACTAGTGCAAGAGACAAAAAAGTGCGATGGAATATATTGATACTTTGGTCTAAAAAAAATTAAAAATGTGAGATCCAATCAGAAATATTTAAGCTGTGTACAAAGGCGGGACGAGTTTGGAAGTGACCCAATCAGATGTAATCGCTCTGTGCATAAAATGTGACAAAATATCGAAACCTGGGAGGAAGAGGAGAGTGAGCATATGCACACATTTCACATTTGATATCAAGGAAAATAAGATGGAAACAAACCTTTACACTTTCAATGATATTTAACAGACTAAAAATAGAAATAGACTGAAACTACAATATTTCAGATGCCTAAATTATGACTAAAACTAAATATTCAAAAGACTATGACTAAAATAATCAAAATTAAAAATGTAAAACAATCACAGCAGTATTCCTGTACACAAATCCATTATTGTGTGATCCCCGAACAGTTTATGATTGCAGCTTATGAACCAAGCTTGCTAGTGTTAGCTAATAACTTTCTCAACCTCAACCTGAATTGTGTCTCCAAAAACACCACACCATAATGCTAAAATGTAAGGTTTTCAAAACAAGTGGATCAGTGAATCAGTGGCTCTGTCCATCTTTTGTCTACAGGCTTTATTAACTGATCTCCCTGCTAATAGTTCTCAAGATGTCTTTGTCAGAAAAAAAGGTTTTAATGTTTGTACATCCACAGTGTTTTGGTCATGCCCTATATTTCCACAGAAATCCTCACCTGGAGAGAAAGTTTTCCAAAGATCTGGGCTTGTCTTCCTTCTTACAGACCACTCCATCTCTCTTCTGCTGCTCCATCTCTCGGATTCGGGAGGAGAAGGTGTCGATGTAGTTAAATACAGCCTTCATGGCAATGGGAACCTCATAGGATTGCTGACAAACAAGATTGACAAGAACCAGTCATACTCTCCCAAAGGTCAAGTCTGAGGTGAAACCAATAAACCAATAAATAAATCAAAATCCCTGTCGACAAAAAATTAAAGAATAAGTAACACTACAGTACAGCGGGCATTAAAATAGAAATCCACTGCATGAAAATGGTGAAACTCCTTCCAGTAATGTGATTATATGAAGTTATGCATGTTAGTAAATGTGGTGTGGCCTTTACCACATCCCAGCAAATCTTTATAACAACTTCTGGGAAGTAGCAAAACCAAGTATCTCATTTCATCCTAACTGGACACAACACAAACATCTGAAACACGCACAAAAATGTAACACACTTGTACATCTTCCTCAGGACATGCTGAAGTTGCCATTCTGATTCTTTCACACCTTTCCTTGCACTGCGCTCTCTGTCCTTTTTCTGTCCAATGCACACACCCACATCCGTGTACATTCACAGACTCCTCTGTGTCTGCTGCTGACAGCAGAGGATGTGAACACTGGCCTCTTTGATGAATCTGTCCGAAAAACAGGCTGGTGATTTATCCTGGCACATGCACACACACTATTATACACAGATGTTGAGCAAATGTCATGTTGTGTAAATTTAAACAGTGTTTTAGTAAAAGCCCCGTGTTGGCAGTATTAGGGCAGAGAAAAAGAGAAAGATTTAATGGAAGTGTAAGCAGATAAGTTGTGAATCAGTGAACACTGGAAGAGGACCAACCGACCAACAGCAGTGCTGTGAATCAAGGCTGTTTAAAAGTATTAGTCAGGACTATGTGAAAGGGCAAGTAAAAAAGTACGATTAAAATCCTCCCTGCTAAAATACCATGGTATATTTAGAGGTCTTTCACAATTCAGTGACTGAATCCCTTAAGGCTATGTTCCAGGAAGGCAGGACTTTTGACACAGCTGATCATGCAGTCTTGGTGAATATGCTACATGACAACAGTCTTGTCCAAGAACGCTGTAACTTAGTTTTGTTTTTTTTTTGCCTGTCCCATTTGGTTCTTTAGCCGTCAGAATTGTTGTCTGAAGACCAAAAAAGATACCCAATGGATTTATTTTGCCAAATGGATCATCATGGCATTGCCGTATTGGTCCATTTGATCGACCTTTGTTTTTATTATTTATTTTATTTTATTTTCAGTTGTTACAGACAGGACAGACATGAGTGAGGGATAGGAAAGGGAGAAAGAAAGAGGAAGGAAAAGAAAAACAGAGAGGGACAGTGAGAAAGGGGGGAAAAAAATATCTCCGGGATCACCTGTTGAGAGAAAAAGAAGAGAAAACAAGCAAAAAAAACCAAAACAAAGCAACATACTAAACACAACACCATCGCATTAATCTAGCTAAGTGTAAACAGCAGTAAATACTAAATATTGAATGTTGTTGTGCAGCACGCAGGACAGACAGCGCACAATGTACTTTGAAGTAGCAGCCAAGAAAGGTGTGATTTAAGTCTACAAACAGTGAACACCCGTGTGCACACCTGTGTGGATCGGCGCGCTTGTATTCAAATGGTTTCCCCATGTAATGGTCTGCAAGAGGATGTAGAGAGCCATAGCCCTGTCCCCCAGGGCATGAAGCAGGCATGGAGGAGATCCAGGCCCCAGACATCCAGAGGCCCCAGAGTGCAAGAGCCCAAGGAGGACCACCGGAGGGGCATCCGAGCCACCTTCATGGGAAGGGCTGAGGATCCCAAGACGAGGGGTCACCCAGTAGCCACCGGGCAGAAGCTAGAGGGGGCTGCACCGGCGTGCCCGCCGGCTCTGCCGGCAGCCAGCTGTGAACCTGCTGTAACTTAGTTTTGAAATAACCATGACGTGTCTGCTTTCCTGGGTCTTCTTCTGTGTTTTTTCCTGTTTCCAAAGAAATGCCTTTGGATGTGTGTGTGCATCCAAAGGCACTTTGCATTGGTTACATTGTTGCTCTGCTTGGTTCCTTCTTATTTTTTGTATGTACATGTGTAACAGCCATACCCAGCACTGCCTTCACTTTCACAATATTTTACAAATATTTGTTTCCCAGAGTCAGAACAGACATTAAAAAGAAGCATTTACCGATGCTGGCTATGTTACGTGGCCTAATCTACAGGGGGATATCTTTTATGAATGTTTTCCATTTCCCTGCATTGCTTCTCTTCTCTTCGTGTCATGTCAGCTATTTACAGTGCAGCTGACTGAGAAGAGCTTACACTGCAAATGCTTGTTAAAGGCTCTTTGAGACTGATGGTGGCGCTTGAACCTAAAGGTTAGTGTGAGCCTGCTATTATAGTTACTCACAATGACAACACATCACTATCATGCTAACCGTCTTGTTAGCATGTACTAATTAGTCCTAAACATAACATGGAGCTGAGGCTGTTTGGAATGTCACAGGGTTTTGACATCATATGTTTAGACTGTTTAGCTTACACGTATGTACCTCACTGCATGTTTATTGGGCACCGATGCATTACAAATATATATTTACTCATTTATTTTTTTAACACCTTGTTTTGTGTTTTCTTAACACTTTACTAAAACAAGACCATTTAATTTTGGTATCTCACCATAGCACTTGCAACAGTTAAAACAAAGTTAATTTGGAGTAGAAACCAAGTGTAGACATATCAAGTGAACACTAGATATATCTGTATGCCCATCCACATTATCGTTGCCTATATTGACAGCTGTTTATCTCTCTGCTTCAAGCTTTACGGGTACATTAATGACAGTTCTCATATTTAGCCTAAAGATTATTCTCTCTCATTATTATTTCCTCTAGATTAGGGTTGTAGTGGCGATATCAAGGATAGGCACGGTTGTGGCACTGATTCAGTCTTTGAGCACTACGGTCACCCCGGTGTGGCAGCCAGAACACAACTTAAGGGCAAATTGTCGCAGAGTAGGGAAGAAGGAGCTTGAGGTTCGGTCTGAGGCACTTTATTGTCACAACTCAATTTCTGGGGCTGTAAAACAGTTGCATGTGTATGTGTGTGGTTTTACATAACATCCCGCAGGAATCAGTGCACCCCCACAAGACCAACACTGCTCATCTGACCTTAAACTGCCCACCTTACTAACCGGATGATGTCACTAGACGGTGGGCTGGCCCAAACTGACAGAAGATTGAATATTAAATGAACAGTAGATAAACTTATATAAACTTATGAACACCAATAGAATTATCCTATGAACTTTGGGGCCTTTTATACAAGGGTCAGCCAACTCTGGGCCTCAGGGGCCGGTGTCCTGCAGGTTTTAGATCTTACCCTGGGTCAACACACCTGAATCAAATGATTGGTTCATTACCAGGCCTCTGGAGAACTACAGGACATGCTGAGGAGGTTATTTAGCCATTTAAATCAGCTGTGCTAGATCAAGGACAAGGGTACACACATGTATATTTATATGGCTCTTTGAGAGGATATTGATTAGGGCTGCACGAGTTTGCATAAAATGAGAATCACGATTTTTTTTCTCGTTTTGCACAGTGTTGATGGGAGCCATATCTTTGTGATAGCCTCCGTAATTTCTTTGTGCCTGCGGGAGGTTGACGGGTATGGGGAAGCGCTGTATAAGGTTCCCGTTATTAATGTTTGGATGGTTGACGGGGACGGATTTTCTCCTGTCACTTTCTTGGCCTTTACAGCTTCGTCATATTGCACTTTATGGTGACGTTTGAGGTGGTTATACAGATTTGTAGTGTTACCTTGCGGTGCTGCTACTATGGCAAAACACAGCTTGCAAATGATATTTTTTTTGACTCTCATCGTCTTCTTTGAAGCCAAAAAACTTCCACATGGAGGAATGAGAACCTTTTCTTGGAAGTAATTTTACAGTGGGGTTGTCATTCTCACCGCCATCAGGAAACGTTTCCTCTGCGCTCATTGTGTTTTCTCCCCTCGGTAGTGATGTGCGGATCGATCCTGAAATATCGATTCCTCCGATACCAATCATTTATGTTCTAGAATTGATTCTTACATTAAAATATTGACATTTTAGTAATGTAGGGTAAATTTGTAGTTTATCATTAACAGGAACACAGTGGAAAGAAACTATAACATTCGGATTGTCTACATTCAAAGGAA